TTATGAATAAAATCATGGGTTATGAGCTTTTCAACTTTTTCCGTCAAATATTGAACAAACTCATCTGCAGGTTTAATAATAGTTTCCAAATTACAACGGTCGGTAGTCAACCACTGTTGAAATAAAACTTCTTCCATATCATCTGCTTCTAATACTGATGTAAGTTCCCTCACGATACTATCTGTGGAAATGCATTCTTAACATGTACGATAAAAACAATCTATGGTTCTAATAGGACTACTGCAAAGTATTTTGTCTGCAATTTCTTTATATGAATCAAATTTTACACTATTAATAATCAATTTAACATTTTCATGTATAGTACAGACACATACATTATGTGTACCTGTACTATCCAAATGTTAGGCTAGATTTTTGTTTTAAGCACGCCCAGATTATCAAAAGGTCAAAATCTTTATGCTCATTAAGTTTCAACGGATTTTAATAAGGTTGTGCGCGTATTATTATTCGACTTTGAGTGAAACACGCTAAAAAAAAATTAACATGAAAAAGTTGTTGTTCGAACAACTTTTTTTCCTTAAAAGCGCCCACTTTGCGATGTATGAAGAAAAGTTAGGTAATTATATTGCCTTTCATGAGAAAAAATATCAAGCAAATCTGAGGGGTACCATTTTTGGGAAAATGACTTTTAATTTTTAAATATATTTTTTTAGAGTGTAGAAACCGATTTTTTATTTTATTTAAATTTTTTTTATAAAATTTCAGATTATTTGCTAAAAGTTCGCCATACATCACTTTTTTGTAGGGCTTGTCATTTTTAAGCTATATCGATTTGAAAAAAAAATCGACAAAAAACTTTGACCCTTATCAAATGTTAGGCGAGATAAATTTTGAAAAAAATAAGTACGCAAAGTTGCTTAAAATTGCTAAGTCTCCACACCCACAAAGTTCCATAAGGTTCTGAGAGGGTGCTGCCAACCACTGGATGAGTTGGCGTGAAATCCGTCCGTAGGGAAATCACTTTTTTCCCACCACAGAAACATTCTGTTTTCTTTTTCAAAATAATGGATGTGCCTTCACAAAACGCACGAAATCTCAAAAAAGCAATAGGGGAAATGGATGTACAGCCGGCCTAAGTGCCCCTAATTTGAGCCCATACACAAATGTAGCAATCGACTAAATTTTCAATAGCGACCAAAAATATCCATAAGTACCGTCCCAATGACGCGTTCATCTAGATAAAATTGATAAAAAGCAGATTTTTAGCGGTGGGCCAAATCTTAGATCCAAAGGCGAACATTAGTGCCTCCTATTAAGAAAATATTGGTAATATTTTTAACTCAATCGGTAGATAAAAGATATACCGAGAATTTATTGAAGGTATTTCAAGCTAAAATGTTCTGATCGCGAGATATTCATGATCAATTACGAAATCTCACATACAATAGAAAATGAGCTGAGGCCTGAGAGCAGAGCTGCTGTATAACTTTTCAGATTCAAGCAGAACGATGTTCAACCAATTGGTACTCGAATATGACGACTGGGTTTGGGGAGGACAATTATTTCACGAAAACAGTGATAAAATTTTCACTTTTCATTTGCATATTTTTAAATTTTTCGTTTTTTTTAATGAAAATTGGAAAAGTATTTATTTGAACAGACTCATAGAGTTATTTCCTATTGATTGGTGTATTTGGATTTGAAAGTCATCTATAAATGACAATGTTATAAGCGTTCAAAACCTAACATCTTTTCGTGATGGTTGCAATTTCTACATCAAAAAGGCCATATATCACGCAGCCACTCCCAAAGGATCTGCGATGGACATCGTTGGGTTTTCAATCAAATATTCATTTGAATTGATGTGTCATATCACATAAATCGTCTATTCCAGTGGTCAAGTACGATCACAGCAAGCGAAGATTATTTGATGTTGTTTGCTACTCAAGAATTTCAAGAATATCCAATAAACTAGTTGGCCTTGGTCAAATATATTTGTCAAATATATGACGATTTGTCAAACAGTGTGATATTAGCTTAAGGAATCGTTTGAATACATTAAGGTGATTCCTTGACGAGTCCTAAAATGGCCGTCATTATGGCTGATATGCTGTACCGTATGCGTGATAATGTTTGCACCATCGTACAAATAAGGTTCCCGTTTCACCTGTGCATACAATGCCTTGGGTTTCTTTGCATACACGTAACCTATAGCTCATGCCGTAGTAGGCTGTGTATAAAAGAAAATGATTTACTTAGTTTGACAGTTGCACCATGACGAAGTGGCAGCGTATTCGTGATTTGTCCCACGCGCAAATGTCGCAAAAAGACATTTCAATCCCGGTGGACCGTCAAAAGGGTTTTAGACCGAGAAAAGAAAGGACAACTATCCGCGAAGTTGGCCACAGGTCGTCCGAGGTCAGCTCGGGTTCCGAGGGTTATCGCTACTATCAAAAGGAAGATTCGGGTGAATCTAGTGCGTTCAATAAGGAAAACGGCAAAGGAACACGGGATCAGTGACTTTACGGCACGGAAGATCGTAAAGGAAGATTGCGGGGCGAAGTCGAGGGCACGCAAAAAAAACTCACATGATTACCAACCGCATCTGGGAGCTACGAGTCGAACGATGCAAGAAAATCTTGAACTTCCTTGAGCGAAAAAATCCGGTAATCGTGTTCACCGACGAGAGCATGTTTACCCGTCGATTCCGTATCAAATTCCAGAACCGACCGGTATATTAGTTCTCTTCCGGTAAAAGACGTGACCGACGAGCACAAGAACGTATATCTGACCAAGCATCCTGCTAGCGTTATGGTGTTTGGATTGGTGGCTTCCGATTGCAAAAAAATGGACCCGGTGTTCATTCCAGGTCAACAACAGAGGTATACATCGGGATTTTAAGTAAGTATGTTCTTCCGTGGATCAAATAACAGTACGGTCCGAAGCCAAATGTTGTATTTCAACAAGATTGGGCTCCGTGCCACACCTCGAACCGCACTCAGAAGTGGTTGCAGGAACATCTTCCGTTCTGGGCCAAGGATATGTAGCCGCCATCCAGCCCCGATCTTAATCCGCTGGATTACTAAATATGGCTCGTCATGAAGGCCAAGGCCTGTTCTAAACGCCACCCGAGTACAGCAAGCCTCAGACAAACATTGACCCGTACCTGGAGAGAAATGGATCCAGACTACATTATTAGAACCTGCCGTGCATTCCGGAAGCGTGTGGAGGCTGTAATTGCAGCAAGTGGAAACTCGATCGATGATTTACATAGTTTAAGACTCTGAGAAACATCCCCCCTTTGAAGAAATAAAAAAAAAACTCGAAAACGGAATGTTTGAGATTTTTTTTAATTTTGACATTGCTCAATGGTGCAAACATTATCACGCATACGGTATCATTTAAAGTTATCTAGAGCACAAATCTCGATACTTGCTGTGACATCTTTCATGAAATCGGATCTTCTTGCTTCCCAAATATGAAAAATTTGTATGGGTAAGAGTCTTCTAAAGACGATATTCCGGTATGATGATGATTAAAGGAAACCGGTTTTACAGCCCTAGTCACGATCTAAGACAAGTCAGGACATCTAGCTTCTTTTTAGTCTCCTTCGCAGGTTCTTAATTCGCTCGTGCAGTCCCTGTTGAACAGTATCCGTGCTAAATCAATACAAACAGTTCCGACAGTAATTTTGTACACATTTTAAAACGGAAAACCAATCTTCAACTTGAAAATCAACCAATTAGTGACTGTATCATCCAAATCTATGCCCCAGTTGTCTCCCCCTAGCTTGTATGTGCAGCAAAGGAAAACTGGCCTGGTGCGGTTAAGGCCTTAATAAGCCTGTATGGGCAGGAGCAGTGCTGCAAAATTTCGACAATACACGGTGATACTCAAAATTCTGCTTTGGTCACTCGTTTGAGCTAACAGTCATCGTCAAGGCAAACCATGTCAATTGTCAGTAGCATTTTTGTCAGTGACGAACATGTGCTGATTTGTTTATTAGCTAAATTTGAAATGAAATTAAATGGCTTGAGCGAAACAATTACATGGAGCCATTAAAGTGAATAAGCATCTACGTCCTGAACCGCTTGGATAACAATAATGTGTCTCAAAATGCAAGAAATTACACTTTCTGTTACCAGGTGAATCTTTGTCATTGACGAAAAAATGAATGAGATTTTGACAAAGATTTTTTTGAGGATCAAGTCTATCATTGACTATGTGAAAAACAATTTTGTCAATATCGCGCAAAAGTCTGTCAATGACAATGACAAATCTCAGCACTGGGCAGGAGAGAGAAGTTTTAATTGATCACTAAGTCCAGCTGTTTTTGGACTAACTTCTACTAGAAAAATTACCAAAAACGAGATTATAAATTGCATCACGCGGTGAGAAAACCCGAATAATGTGATCAATTAGTGTAAAACGATATAAGCTAAGAAAAGCAAACGAAAAAAAATACGCTAATTTGCCAGACACGAAAGCCGCCATCGGTCGCTTACTGCTGTGAAACTTTACGATTTTAGAACAAAATTTAGCTTCGTTAGTTTAGTATTGCCAAATAATTCGAAAGTTAGCGTTTCGCTAAACCAGTAAAAATATCAACCCTCACTGATCAGCTTAATTAGCGAATTCGAAAAATCGCTTAAGGTAACTTAAGTGTGATATCAAATTTTAGAAACAAAAAAATACCTTCTGTTCCTCTTCAGACGTTAATGAAGTAGAAGCCAGTGAGTGTATTTTCACACCATAACGCTAAGTTACTTAAAATAGTTATAAAAGCGTACCGTCCCAGGCTTGATCAGATTCAGTACAGTGCAAACTGGTGTTAAGAGAAGAACTGCTTGTAGGTACTAGAAAGTATTTTCATCAAATTTGTTGACAACCGGCAACCGTTAAAATGGTGAATCAGGTCAGGTGGGTGGTATAAGTATAATGAAAGTGAGAGGAGGCGTGACATCTTAATCAATGTGCTTGCATCAGCAATCTAAGCACACCATATTCACACTTTGCCCCCTTACCCATCCCTTCCGCAGGATGTCGAAAACCCTCGAGGAATCTCCCAATGCCCACATCAACAAGACCCTGCTGGACAAGTACATGAGCCTGCCGATGCCGGAGGGCAAGATCCAGGCCACGTACATCTGGATCGACGGCACTGGCGAAAATCTCCGCTGCAAGGACCGAACGCTCGAATTCATTCCCGAAAAACCCAGCGGTAAGTCAAACTTTCAATTACAGATTTATTCAGTTAGTTGAATCGCGATCTGGCGAACAAAACCCTATAGTCATCGTCGTCGTGCTCAAAGGCAAGTTTTACGACTTGCTAAGTCGCGATCTCCAACCGCGGACTGTGAACGTTTGCAATTAATTTTCAAGATCAAAGTCAATGTTGTTTCCCTGCAAAAACCTGCTTTGCCGTACTAGCTCATTCGCAGTAACGGTACCCCAGGCAGAGCGCTAGTCGTAAATTGACACTAGTGGGAGGTACTAACTAGTTAAGCTAGTGTATGCGTTAGGGTGGTTCAAATTATCGATTTCGCTCCACACTGCTCTGTCGATTCCAAATCAGGTCGCAGAATAATTCTCCCAAAATTCAAGCTCATTTGATTGCTCCTTCTCATTAATATACTAGACGGTCGCTAATTGAAACAACGTTCAAATTGTTCACTACAAGTTTTTCTTCTACGATTTTGGTCAATTTTGAAGTGTCCGTCGTCTCCATTAGGGCGCAAATGAAATGTACGGAAAAAATAAACCATCGATTTTTTGAAAAATGTTCATTGAACCGAAAAAAGACACTTTGCAAAACCACAATTTTAAGACCAAAAAAATATTTTTTTGGATTTTATATAGGGGAAATGGCTCTAATGTTGGCCTATGGAGCTAAGATTGGGCCAATCGCTAAAATTTAGCTATTTATCAATTGTATCTAGATGAACGCGTCATTGGGACGGTACTAATGGATATTTTTGGTCGCTATTGAAAATTTAGTCGATTGCTGAATTTGTGTATGGGCCCAAATTAGGAGCATTCAGGCCGACATTCCCCTATCTTTTTCCAATAATTTTAGAAAAATCAAAATGTTAATGAAAAAACTTTTTTTGCTGTAAACTTCCCCTTAAAGTGCTTTTTATTGAAGTTATCTTTCAAATAAAAACTTGAATTGATCCACCATTTACAGTGTATAATAAACATTTTTTTTTCAAATATATGACTGATATTTAGGAGCCGTCTATAGTGCAAATAGCGATGGCTTTACCATACTGTAATTCGCACTAAACATGGTAACATGGCACTTGAGGGGCATTTATTGTTACCATATTCTAGATTTAAATGTAGTAGAGCCCGGTGCCGATGGAGCGATCGAACATACTCCGCCCCAAAACTAAAGTTTTGAATTACCACGATGATGGCGAATAAGGTGACGCTGCGGTCCGAAGTGCGTACATATGGGGAGTACAAGGTGAACAGTGGCAGTCCAACGGAACGAAAGGCGATTCGGTAGGGATTCAGACGGTCCAACAAGAACACTGGTGATCTAACAGGGACGCAAAGCGATCCAGCAAGGGTACAGGTGGTCCGATAAATTGAGGCAGAGCTCCGATAAATGACGCATGTTATACAACGGGGATGCGGGTGGTCCAACAGCGACATAGATGGTCCAACGGAGACGCTGGGGTTCAGCAGACGACTCGAGACATCCGACACGGACAATGGCAGCCCCGCATTAACGCTGCTCTTCGAAAGGGAAAGAATTTCCAGCGGAAATTCTGTGCAATCCGATGGGAACTTTCCAATAAAATGGCGTTCTACTCCGGTATGCAGCAGACTGGACAAAGGAGCAATAACGAATACTCCAATGGCATTGTGAACGAGCCGTCTCCGAGCACCATCCTGGTCACGGCACCAATGGTTCGGCCAGAATGCCACCCTACGCTGTGTTGCGGTTGATTCATTTGACGGTGGAGGATTGTCTGATGTTTCGGAGCAGCAGAACAAACACTTTTCATACTTTAATCGATACCTTTTATTGCCTCCGAGCCTGCTCGGAGGAAGAACGAATAACTTAAAACGAACATCTATAGTGCGAATAGCAATGGCTGTACCATACTGCAATTCACACTGAACAGATCGTTACCATGGCACTTCGGGGGCATTTATTGTTATCACATTCTAGGTATATAGTACAGTCCGGTGCCGATGATGTGATCGAACAGGTGGAAATGTTGGGGACCGAGACGATCAACCCTGGATGCAAGGAGCGGAGCTGCGATAGCCCATCACAAAACGAATGTGCTATTGATCAGTAACTGCAAAGCGGTGCAGTGTTCAGAAATAACCGTCGGGAGCACGCCATTATTGCCTTGAAGCGCGTGGTGAAATACCTTCAACAACCATGTCGAATATGCCTGTTAGAATGCTTCGAAGGCCATCAACGCGATAGGAAGAATCATGCCGAACAACTCTGGTCCCAGCAGTAGCAAGAGGCGTCTTCTGGTCAGTGTTTCGTCGTCGATACTGAGGTATGGAGCTCCAGCCTGAGTTTCAGCACTGGGAACCAAGCGAAACCAAAGGAAACTGAGCAGTACGTTCCGTTTGTGAGAACATTCTCGTTGGAAGTAGTATGCTGTATCACCGAAATGATCTCTATCGACATCACCCTGGCGGAGGATAGCGAGTGCTACAGGTGGAGAGAAGCCGGAAGAGTATGGAAAGTGGTGAGAGCGGAGTCGTTGGCTAAGTGGCAACAGGACTGGAACACCGATTCTTTCGACCTTCAGGAAATACCTGCATCGGTTCGGACTAGAGATGGCGAGCCCTACCACAGCTGTTCTAAAGATCCGATTCACTAAAGTGAGCTGATGACCCGCAGTTCATTTTGTAAGAACTGGAGCTCATCAGATCACTGATATCACAAGTCAAAACCATACAATCCGACACTTACAGCCAACCCAGTTCATGAAACTGGCGAAAACATCAGGTGATCCATAACATATTTAAGCTCCAACCATGTAACATTAAATGCGGCAAGGTGGCAACAAATGTAATGCCTTCAAAACCATTCTTACCTTCCCGCAATGGGCAATTAAAAAATGATTTAGTTGTTTTCGAATTGACGAGCACAATTTGCATGAATCATACTTTCCTATAACGTTATCTAGAAAACTCTATCTATTTTCCGCAACGCGGCGCCACATGTACCAAGCTTAATCATAGAGGAAAAGGATGAGCTGTCAAATTAGCACCAGAGCACCAGAGAAATTTGGCTTCACTCGAGTTGTTCGCAGATGACAGGCGTTGCAGTCCTGTGCTTACAGCGGGACTTTTCTAAAAAGGACTCATTACTCCACTTACGCATTGAACAGCCACCGCGTAATGCAAGATGTGCGCGTAATACAACATGTGCTCACGATAGCATTAACGGTAAAAGCAAACATCCAAACGACTGTATGGGAGAGAAAGACACATATACATGTGTTAAACGTTCACACTTAGATTTTTTTGCCGAATCTCGGTTTTATTTTGCCGAGATCCGCACAGCCGAGTGCTCGGCAATGAGCTCGGCAAACAAACTGTTGCCGTTAATCTCGGTTTAGAAAAAAATGACAGCTTGTGCGGTTTACCGAAAATCTCGGTTTAAGAAAACTGATTGCTCGGCACAGTAAAACTGAAATCTCAGCAAAAAATGTAAACAATCTCATATAAATTCTACCGAGATTTCAGCAAATCTTAATAAATTCAAATAAATTTGAAAACTTAACTGCATTTTTCAATCAACCATCATTTATTTCTCTGTTCTTGTTCACATCAAAAATAAAATTAAAATCAATTAATTTAGTTGGCTTACAAACTTATTGCCAGTGGTACTCAATGCTTCGATTTTGAAACAGTATGCATAAAAAAAAGAATAAAAAATCTTGTCCGATGGGCAGCATTTTACATTAAATACTGTAAAAACTTGCAACAGTAGAGTGAAGGCGCCCAGTAGATTGTTTCCGACAGGAATTGAGATGTCCTTCCAAATAATGTTGCAGTCACCATCTTCAAATAATGTTGCTGACACGATGATAAGCGGATCTTCTGTGTTAGGTAATTCCATCTCCGGCTAAAAAAAAAATTTGAGAAAAAAAAATATAAAGTCAATGAATAGGAAGAGTTTGTTTTATTTGATTTTATATTCAAACAAGCATTTCCATTTGAGGAATTTAATTTAATCATTAATCCAAAAGTTAAATGTATATTTTCCATGCCCCTCGGCTTCTTTCCGATATTATTATATGTTTTGTAAAACAGCGTAAGAAATTACTCACATCAATCCAGTCGATGATACCATGCAACGGATTAAACTTTCGTGCTTCTTTTTCTTTGTCCGGTCGTGGTCGTTTTGCTCCTCTGGTTGGATTTTTTTCACGAACTACGGCTAACGCCTTGATCATATCGTTTTTGATATATCTGTACACATCTCGGTATTGATCCAGAATTTTTGGTTGGATAACATTCCATACATCCTCGAACCGTGCCGCATTTGGCCTCATTGACTCAAAGTCAAATGAAATCTGAAACATAAAGACAATAAATTAATAAATTCAGAAGTCCTTCCATATTCCCATATATACCAATGCTCCTCCAAACGCTGTAGCTACCGGAAAGTCTTTCATGAACTGCAAAAATGTTACTTCCTCACGAATGTTGTTACGGAATCTCAACGTTTGTTTCCATAAATGCATAATTCTTGATTTTGATTGTTCCGTGGGTACAGCAAATTGCAGTTCTAGTACCTGTGAGAAACAGATTCATTATAACAATAAATTCGAGAAATATTTTTCATTGTTTGTTTTACCAGATCATCGATGGTTGCTTCGTCTTGATCGTATTCTGATACTTCTGAAGCTCGCAATGTTTGGCAGTCATCGGAGAGTCTGTGGAATACCCGTTTGTCTGATTTTTTGGCAAGAAACTCCATCCGGTAGTGAATTTTTCCTGAATGGCGCCCACTACCGCGACCGTTTTTGTAAAACCACAGTGCCTGCAATAGTACAAATACAAAAGCACGTTTTCGTTCATTCACAGCAGATATTTTTGACACACAGTTCGATGAAAAAAAATATATATGATCCAGCATCCAATACGAAAAATACGTGAGGAAACTATTTTGTAGTCAAGTTATTAACGAAAGCCAAATCGCAGAAGAGAATTCAAGCTGAACAATGAATT